CATGTAAATTCTATCTGGACAAAGTCGCCATGTTAGTTACCTTAATCACCTGTCTCCCCTTCAAGGCATGCACTACCAAGATGCAATTTTATAATGAACTTTTCCCAAAAAGTGGGTGAAGGTAACTATTGCATCATCTTTGTCTAGCCAGAATGTAAATCAATATATATGTATAGTGATTCATTGTCAAAATTAATAATAAAGTTAATTATAAAAATATTAATTAACAAATTTATATAATTATAGTTTGCAAAAATTTCTTATTTAAAAAAATTTATAGCAATTATTTTCTAAACTTATTTGTATTGATTGCCATTATGTTTGTATAAAAGCCTCGGAGAGTAACGAGTTTTTGAGTTCTTAAATTCTAATTTTTAAAATACTGTAAAATACTTGTATAGTAGAATTTATCATCTGTAAATATCTAAATATATACAGTAAATCTACTAATTTATTACGTCGAATATACAGTAGTTACATGTAATTATAAGTCAATTTTACAAGTATTGAGTGATTACACAAATAATACCTGAATACAGTTACACTTCATGTAGAAAAGTAACTTATACACTATTAATTATACAGTATATTAAATTATGGCTAAACTATTATAGAATAATTATACATATTTTCAAAATGATATTTTGTTGTTTATACTAATTTAAAATCGATTTAATATGGTACTAAAAAGGTTTGGACAATTTTAATGTCTAAACTGCCAAAATTTATAAATATAAAATATAAAAATTAATTCTAATTATAATTACACATAACATTAATATGACTGGCATTTGTCACTAGAGTAATAAAGTTTACTTAACAAATAAGTACATAAGGTCCAAAATGTGTGGAAAAATGGTTCGGAGCTGCTTTGTTCTTATTCATACGGTATGAATCATAATCATCTTAAATACCATTTCGTACACTTATTTAGAAAATACATGAGATTTGTTTTTTTAAATGCGCCCAAAAGTGGTCACTTCGGCCACACCTGAGATTATCTGCCATATGAAGTGTATTTTATTTTATAACAATAAATGCCTGTTTACGCAATGTAAATTCTTGTAATATTAAACTGTATTTATGGTATAATATAGTGATATAGAATGTAAAGATCTGCAAATCTCAAGTATAATAAGATTTAAGATTTGTTAATAACATTACTCCTAATATTTAGTACAACTCAATCGAAATCTAATTCATGACATCTGGGTTTAGTTTACTTCAATTGTCTTCACTTACAAACAGTTACTCAACTCATATTATAATATTATTATAAATGCTATGTTAATGTGTAAGTTCATAGGTGACAATCAAGCGTTTTTATATAACAAATTAATATAATTATAAAATTAATTTTTATTACAGTTACTAATACATTATGTAATATTTTATAATTGGATAGAAATATATTTAGATCAATATAATGTAATTTAGATTATTTTAAAATATAATTTGATTGTTATTTGTTTTAGATGTACATCAATATTTAACTATAAAGATTATATCATTACTTATTTTTAATAAATTATTACTTATTGAGTTAAATTTGAATTAATCACTCAACCAAATAAGTATATTTGTTCATGTTTGATTAATTAGAGGTAACCATACTTTAATTGTTGCATTTAATATTGTAAGTACTATTTGGTTAACGATTTTTGTAAAGGACCACAATTCTCTTATTAGTATTCCAACAATTCTAACATAATGTTTATTTTTTTTGCAATTATAGGCAAATTACATATAATATGTAACATATTACAAGTTGCATATTAATTATAATTGCATTCGTAACAAAAATGTATATAAATAATTAATATTATAAATAACGACCAAAAGTTATGCTTAATTTTATTAATTTAAAATAACTTTTTCTTATGTATATAAGAATTAAGAAATTATGTGATAACTTATAATATACTATATGTATATACTAATGACAATTTTATATTATATTCTATCAAATTTGTCAAATGCTAACTTGTAAGACATTATTAATTTGGTTAAAGGTTAGCACAAAGTGAGAAAAGTTAGTATACAATAAGTCATATTTAATAAAAACTAAATTTTGTTCAAATATTGGTTTAAAAGAGGAAGTAATTAGAAATGAAGTAAAAATTTGTAAATCAAATAATGTTATGATTTAGAAGACGAGTGCAATTAGAATGTGATTCTAGTGTTGAGGCAATTGTTGAGGCAATTGGTTGTATAGTAGAGAAGGGCGTAGTCTTCAGTATTAGAGTCTCGCAATTCTCGCAATTCTCGCAATTCTTTGCTCTTAAAGCATATGTGAGAGAAAAGTCGGCAAAACTGTTCATTGAGTCGACGGTTGCAACGATTGCTAAAACACGAGTTTACATGAGTTCAGGAATATATGTTTTTATTGCATATGTTTATTATACATATATTAATGTACAGCTGATTGAAATGACTTTTTCTAATCACTTACTAGTAATTTATGGCAAAACAAATTGGCATATATTATATACATGATAATTCTTCAATATATTGACACACATCTTATAAAACATATTGTAGTAAAAAGTAAATGATATTTTGTGACATTCAAGTGTTTATTCATTATGGATATACTTTGATTTGTGTCAAATATTTTTTGTGTAAAAATTTTAAGAGTTGTAATGAAAAAGAAATTTGAATTGTGTATAGTATTTGATGGCGAGTCGATTGTTTCAAACCATATCGAGTGGTCGTCCCTATCATGTGGTGAAAGCCAATAATGAAAAGACCACTTCAAAACTGGTCGTTCACAAGAGTACATGTAAGTCGAGTGTCCGTTTGCCTCATACTCGGCAATACCAAACATCACGTGTGGTTTATGGACAACCATCTGATGACACAAATGTCTCAGAAATGCCTGATATTGAAGCTCAAGTCGATAACCAGAGCAAGTCTTTGAAAACAAAGACACAATCGCTTTGTTTGCAATCAAAGATTTCCATTAAATCTAACAATAACTCGATTATCAACGAAGAGAGGCCTCGTATGAGTTTATTGGGCCGACCCGTCGATGTGAACCGACGGCTTCGTTCAACCAGGGATTCAAAGCGTAGAAAATATCAGTTTCTTATAAATAACTTTCTTGAGAGACCAAACGGTCGCCTTTCAGTCCTCTATCACCTATTTGTGTGAGTATTGTATTCATACAATTGCTTTCATACTTATTTACATCTCGATTATAAATCGAGCAATTTTATGTGCTTTCATTTGTACGTTGTTAAATTAATAATATGCAATTATCTCAAGTAATTTGTCTTTAAAATAATACACAATTTATACACTTATAAAAATATAGTTTTATACATAAAATAATATTTTTCTAGACTGAAATTTTTCTAGAACTTTTGTTGAGTCTATTAATAACTATTTCATTTTTATTTTTAAAATCTTGTATATCATATTTGACTGTATAATAATTAGAACCTCTATTTTTCGGGGATAAAAATACTCAAATTCGGGTGGGAATCGGGAGTATTAGGAATTGGAATTGGTCAAATTCGGAAACAAAGATTTATTAAATTAAGCATGTAAATGAAATTATCGTATATTTTTTGCTTAAAATGAGTTATAAATTGTATTTCGTTATGTTAATCTGTAATTAAATAATAAATTAGTCTAAAATTCTGATTTTTTATAAATTTTGCTAACTTACATTTGTTGTAATGATAAAATTACAGCATACTTTTAATGTTACCATAATAAATGTGTTAAGTCGTATCATAATTAAAATAATTTCATATTTAAAAGCCAACATTTATTACATTTTATATCTAGATTATTTGTTATTTTCATAAAAACGGAGTATTTCGGACAAATCAGGCATAAAATAAGCTTTTCGGGAGTTTTCGCAAAATATACCAAAATCAGAAAAATAAAAATGTAGCCCTTTATAGCCCTCGAGACTACTGAGATGTTATTCCCGATTAGTCAAGGAACTAAATTTAATCGGGAATTCTCAAAATAAAATGGACGCTTTAATAATAATGTATTGATACAACTTATAACAATATATTCGGAACATATTTTAATGCTATTTCTGTTTATTTCTGTAATTTAACATTATAATAGTTTATATTTTAAAATTTTATATCTAAACTTTATATAGAGTTGGATTTGTATGTTACCTTGTTTTGCCAACATTTTAACATACAGTATAACGATATTTATTAAATTTTATGTTTATTTGATTATTTTTGCAATCACATTACTTTAAAAATTGTTGAAATGTGAATTAATTCAATATTAAAAATTTGTATTTTTCAAAAATAATATTATAAATATGAAATTTGTTATTAATTTTGTTTGTTATTAGTAATAAAATTGTTTATTTATAATTTTTGAAGCAGTGAGCATTATCTATGAATAAATGCCTTTAAAGGAATGTATAACTTATTGAACACAAATTGGTTTAAGCGAACAAAAAAGTATTTTGATTTGATTTGATATCAAAGAAATGATTTGTAGTGAAACACAAATATTTCTAAATAAAAAGTATATTCATTGAAGAATTTGTTGTCAAATGGAAATACTGTTAAATTGAAAGTAAATATTCTTTATATCATTTGTGTCATGCAAAGTGTTGGACCAAATATTTTACAAATGCAATGCTATTGATATAAATTGCAACAGAATGTAATAATTTTGACCATGTTACTTATCTTAGCACTTTGCAGATACTTCAGAAATATGAAATTGAATTGTGAATTGAATCATATATACAGTGCAGTATGCATTGAATATTTGAATATACTTTAATTACATTTGATTATACTGTACTTGAATTATTTAAAAATATTAAATTGTACTAGAATTTTAATAAATTAAATTAATTATTATAACTTTATACAGTATATCTTATTTTATTTATTATATTTAATACATAAAGTAAATTAATGTTTGTTGTTGTGTTAGACAAAATTATTTTTGAAACTGTGTTAAGCCCTATCAAATTTACGGTATAGTTATGCTTGATTTTATAAATGAGTTTTTGTATAAAATTTATATTAAATGGTCATACAGTACACCATTTGCTTAATTTTTGAAACGTTTGAGATGTCTTATGTGAACAATACTTTAATTTACGGTATAGTTATGCTTGATTTTATAAATGAGTTTTTGTATAAAATTTATATTAAATGGTCATACAGTACACCATTTGCTTAATTTTTGAAACGTTTGAGATGTCTTATGTGAACAATACTTATTATGAGTTTTACTGCACAATAAATAATAGATACTCTAATTCATGTGAAGGCAAGTGCTTCAAAAAAGGCTTCAAAAATAAAAAATAGCCCTATGTTATTCATACAATATTCATATTCATGTTCCCTTTTCTGCCGTCTCATGCTCTAATTAAACAATTTTGTATTTAAATGCAATAAATACTGCTATTCATTGCAACACTACTTTATAAAATTATATTTAATTTTATATTGTATGTAATTTTTTTATTAAGTAATCAAATACTTGAAGAATATTTAAATATCACTTTGAAACTAGAAATAAACCACTGATACTTTTCCCACTACTAACAAATGATTTATATATTGAATTTTGACTTTTATATTATATATTACTTTTATAAATAATTTATTAAATACATCTGACATCTAATGTACTGTATATTTGTTTTTTGTACATTTACTGCTCACTAGTATAGAATATATATTATTGATATGAATTTTATTTTCTCATTATAAGAATAGGTATTATGATTACATATTATGATACTATTATATCTCTTTATTTTGTACCAAAATTCTAACAATTATAGAAGTCTTGGTATCGATACAAAATAACATGTTAACTTTTGGAGCTTATTTATAGTTAATTTCTCATAATATATCGTAATTTTTATACTTAAAATTTGTAAACTTAAATTTCAACGTAAAAATATTTTATTAAAGTATGAAAAATTTTGAGTTCTTAAGTACTCTATAACGTTGAGATTTTTGGGAGAGATTTTTATTTTTATTATTATATAATTTATAGTTGATTTAAACCAGATTATATTTAGTATATTGTATGTATTTTCATACTTTTTAAAACTCAAGAATTCATGAGATATTGGTTGAGATTTTTGGGAGAGATTTTTATTTTTATTATTATATAATTTATAGTTGATTTAAACCAGATTATATTTAGTATATTGTATGTATTTTTATACTTCATATATTCATTGTGTTGTTCTTATGAATAAAATCTATATACTTTTTTAATGCAAAATAGAGAGCTTTACAGTATATATTGCATACAATCTAATAGTTTGTGCTTATTTATTACATTTATTAAATACCAATTTTCTAGTTTATATTTATTATATCTAGTTCTAGTTAGTTTTTCTTTAGATTATAGATTCTAACTGAATATTAAAATAATTGTAGTTATAAATTATATGCTGATTATATGTTATCGAATACTATGCTATGTCTATGAATTGAACACTAGTATAGAATCGGTTGATTCTTTTAATATCTCGTAAACACAACTCAATTATGTCTTAATCATATAAAATAATTTGTTTTTATCTGCTTACGGATTTTGGTATTTGTCTAACATACGGATAACAACAATATTACTTACACTGTTATCAAAGATAAGTTATAGTAACCCTCGTCACTACTCCTCAGTTAATTAAAAAAGTAATCAAAATGACATTATATATTAAATTAAAATATAAAGTATGGCAAAGGTAATCATAATATGTAATATAACGCTATATGACATACACGAGTAGACATAGTGCCCGAAGGTTTGTTTGCAGATATTGTGTGATCTTTAGCTTTTGTCTATTTATTTCACAAACATTAGAAATTCTTTAATCATGCGATATATTGACTAATTTAAGAATTTATATTATATATTGTATAAAGTATTTATATAAATGCCTATGGATAATGACTTAACTTTGTAATAACATATTTAATTTTCTTAACATTCTTGTTAGCAATATTTACAATACTTGAGTTCCATAATATAGTATTTGCTGGACAATCACTAGTTAAACATTTATTGCTGAAGTGTTGGCATACATGTTATATCATTTATAGTTATGATAATAGTATAGATGTGAATGCCAGAATATACATGTACAGTATATTACTTATAATGTTACTATTTTTTGTGTAAATCTTGTGCTTTCTCATAGAAAAATTATTTATAAATGTAATACTCTGTAAATCTTTAACTCCAACGCATTATAACACAATATACAATGTATGAATATTATTTCATACTGAAGCAAATTTGCATGAATTAGAATTTATTAAGGATAATTGGTGATTTGAAAATTAATATTTAAAATAGTATATAGCTTGAAATAACTAAAATAATATGTTTAAAATGATTAAATTGTTGTGATTTAAACTAATTGCCAGGTTTTGTATGGTCTTCGCGTGTTTGGTTCTCACAGTCTTCTCAACCATCAAGGAATACGAAACAACCGCTTCAGCCATACTATTAAGAATGGTTTGTATGGACCAACTGTTCCGCCTATCGATTCCATTTCATACATTAATAATTCAATTATTCTTCACATTTTGCCCTTTTATTGCAATCAAATCCATTTGATTACACTTAATATCATAATAAATAGTATTTACAATGTATTGTATATTTGATTATTATTTAGGAGATAGTTATGGTTGTGTGGTTTGCATTTGAATTTTTCTTCCGGATGTGGTCTGCGGGCTGTCGGTCACGATATCAGGGTTGGGTCGGACGTCTCAGGTTTCTTAGGAGTCCATTTTGTGTCATTGGTATTCAATTCTCACCAATTTTTTCAATTATTTTATTTAACCACTTTTTAAAATAATTTTTTTAAAATTAATATAAGTGATCATGTTTGTCTATATATTATTGTAAAACATATTAATGTAATAGAAATAATATAAAATGACATTTATGTCTAGATGTGATCGTCATAATTGCATCAGTGATTGTGTTATCGGTTGGCAGTTCGGGACAGGTATTCGCCGCCTCAGCTCTTCGTGGGTTACGATTCTTCCAAATTCTACGAATGGTTCGTATGGATAGAAGAGGAGGCACTTGGAAATTGTTGGGTATATTGTCCCACATTTTGTATCACTATTAAACAAATTAAATCATTTCTAACTCATATATTATTAATTATTAGGTTCTGTTGTCTATGCACACCGACAAGTAAGTGAACGATAACTCGGTTTATGTGGCAATAAAATATGACGTTTAATATACATTGTATTTTAGGAATTGATTACTACAGTATACATAGGATTCCTTGGATTGATTTTCTCATCATTTCTCGTATATCTCGTCGAGAAAGACGTCGAGGACACTAAGTTTGAGAGCTTTGCCGACGCTCTTTGGTGGGGAGTGGTCTGTCACTTATGATTGCTTTCATTATATTATTATGTTCATACAATTACACTAATTAATAAATGTTTAAAATAATTTTTTGTTGGAAAATAACATTTCAAACTCCTTTATATTCTTACTAGTAGTTAGTATAAAAACCTCATATAAAACTCAAATTCTGAGTATAAAAACGCGATTCAATTATTTAACATTAGTTTATTCCTCGAAAATCCTTTTCATTCAAATGATATTAATATTTCACAACAAATATAGAGAACACGACAAATGAATTCCTCAAGGGTTACACCTCTTGTCATATATCTCTCTAACAATACATTATAAATCTGTTATTAAGTATTAAAATAGGAAAGTATTTAATATTATATTAAGATTGAGTTATAATGCAAAGAATTCCTTCAATTGTGAAAATCTGTTAAATCTTATTTAAATATATTCTTATTCTATAATTCATGTGAACTAAATTCAAAACATCTCTCTCTCTCTCTCTCTCTCTCTCTCCAAATCTCAATTTCTTTTTTCCTTTTCTCTCTCAAGGGATTTATTGTTTATCTAAATAAATATGTTTTATATAGATAGAACAAAAGTGAGTTTTCACGGACTTTAAAATTATGAGTTTACGGAATACAAAACACAAATATCTAAAATTTTGACCTTTTGAAAATTTGAATTTAATAGAAATTGAAACCTTTAATTATACTAATAAATGTTACTATTTTTGTGTAAATCTTGTGTCTTCTAATAAAAAAATTATAAATTTTTAATTATCTTAATATTATATCAATGATAATATTATTTATCAATTAATCTAATTTTATTTTCTTCATGTTTACAATTAAAAGATCACTCTTTGCACCGTTGGATACGGAGATATATTCCCGAGTACTGTAAGTATTGGACAAAACTTGTCGATAGAAATAAATATTAAAGAAATATATAACAATATATTAGTGGACGGGGAAAATAATTGCCGCCTTCTGTGCTCTATTGGGTATCTCATTCTTTGCCTTACCGGCGGTGAGTTAACCATTTTACTATACTTAACATTATTTTCATATTAATAGTGAGTATTTATTACAAATCACGTAATAGATGATTACAAATTAGGTTTGGATACTTTTACTTCAATTCAGCATCACAATCGAGGTTTATAAGATCGATACTTATTGATCTTAAAAATCGTTTTTATTATTACATTATTAGTTTATTATATTTTATTATTCTACAGTACATACCTCTAATCTTAAAAATAATATTTTTGAATATGATTCATATTATATGAATTATGAGATTAAAAATGTACATCTAGAATCTAGATCATGAATGTGCATGTAAGAGAATGTTACTACGTAAACTTGTGTGAGTTTAAATACACTCAAAGTTTTTAAGCACATTCGTAATTTAGATGTTAATTTGAATTGTTGTGGTCGATTGATGATGGCAAATTATTCATATTTAAGATACTGTGCATTTTGATTTTCTCTGATCCGGATAAAGGTTAATATCTAGTTAATTTATGTCATTTTTAACAAAAATTCCAATTGCCCTAAAATAGAGTGCAATCTTACCTAGATAGTATTGCACCCCTTTACTGATATTGACGTAGTATTGCATGCATTTCTAAGCCAGGTATTACGGTACATCTAGAATCTAGATCATGAATGTGCATGTAAGAGAATGTTACTACGTAAACTTGTGTGAGTTTAAATACACTCAAAGTTTTCTTCGTGTAAGCATTAAATCTACAATTAAACTTAACAACACCAGCTAACTACTACCGTTTAATAAGTATAAATTCTATGACACGTAAAACTAAAAGAGACTAGGCCTATTTCCAATTATAGATCAATTCCTTGGTTTAGTGGACAATTGAAAATTTAAACAATACTTAATGAGTGTATTCAATGTTTTGAGATATAATTAATTATTTAAATAAATAAAATAAACTACGAATAAATGGTATATATTTGAATTTGAAGGGTATTCTTGGATCGGGATTTGCACTGAAAGTACAGCAACAACAGCGCCAAAAGCATATGATAAGACGTCGAGTACCGGCCGCCACATTGATTCAGAGTCTATGGCGGTGTTATGCGGCGGACGAGAACTCTATGTCTGTGGCCACTTGGAAGATACATCAGGTGCCTCTTCCCAGTCCACCCGCGTATGTGTAAACACATATTATAACTTTTCAAATATTACGATAATTTGCTATTCAATTTTGGTTAAGACAATTAAGATCACGCAAACAATGAATGGATGCGTGCGATTGCATGTTATAGCACTCAAACACCACTTATACTGTTTATATAATATAATCTAATCTCTTATCTTTTATTTTCTATCTGTTTGTGTCATTTCGTTGTAATCACTGTTAAAATGCACTGAAAATCGTTTGCACCGAACTATTGCTACACGTTTTGATGTGCTATAAAATCATTTCAAACATTGCTTTTGGTGTTCGTCATCACTGCAGCTATACTTCAGGTTCTTTTACACAAACACTAACTAAACGCAAAGATAGATTGGATTTACCACAAAGTACTGGTGTTAGTCTGTAAGTACACCTCCAATATATTCAATATTTACATTTATCTATTGAGTATCACTTTATACAACGTTCACAATCAGTTTCATTCATATACTTGTATATTCAGTCTATGTTTTGGGTTTTGGTGTAAAATTTGGTGATTGCTCTTTGAAAACGATATTTATTTAATGTAATACCAGTCGTATTATACGACTAGTATTTAAAGCCAAGGAATTAGTTTGAAAGGACTCTTTTGTGATTACAAAACCGATAGATTAATGTAATGTTTGTTTATTTTACATTAATAAACATTATTTAAATTAAATGCTCACTAAATCACTAGTAATAGCACTGCTTTGAAGACTTTAATATAATAAGAGCTTATTGTTGTCAACGCATTCTGTGACTACAATTTAGACTATTTTTATTGATGTAATCATATATATTGTAATCACTTCTACTTTCACCATATAATCGCTGGGCTGGAGAATAGATCACGAAATAACACTTTAAATAACAGCTAAATATAAATACACTTTTAATAAATCCAAAAACAAAATTGACTAAAAGGAGTTTTTCATTACGAATTAAATAAAACATCGAATATAATATATTTATAAATCATAATAAATAGCAATTAATAGTTCTAATGACTGATTGTTAGTTTTAAACACAACACATCATTTGTGAGTCGCTTTTCGACGATCCGTCGGCACAAATCGACTCATTCGCCGCTCACTCGCAACCGTAAGCCCTGCAGCAGACGGCTGGTGGTGTCGGCTCTGCTACCGAGTGCTTAAGGGCCGTCAGAATCACTTCTGTCACAGCGGTTTCTATAGAGGCTACGAAGGTTTGCATTAAGACTGCCATTCTGATCATTTCATTAGTTTTATGGCAATTCTCATTATATCATTACGTAATGCTATAATAAATAATTAATTTTGTTATAATTGAAATTTTTATTCATTTAAACATTTATATTATTGTTTAAAATGATAAAATATAATGAACTTTTGAATAACTATTCGGACATAAATTTTTAAATAAGGGATAATTACTTATGATTATGTAATTACTAATTAGTGAAGCTTTTAGAAACTGTACGCTATTTTGCAATGAAATTTGGTTTTGAAAATATGATATAACTTTTTTTCTAGATAATGTTTCGGGTTAAAAAATTGTGGGAATATATAGATTAACAGCAATATATCTATATATCAAAATTAATTAAGTAACAATAAGTAATATTGGAGTCTAGATAAACCAGTGACTTCGCATTGTAAACAAGGTATGACTATATGTTAAACGGTTGAAACTCATTGTGATTATACGAAGTGAAATCAGTTTTACTGTTAGAGTTACAGTTAGATCCTTGATTAAATTTAATGATTTAACTTTAAATGTCAATTTTATTATCAATTTTGAAACATTGATTAGAATTTTGATTATTTTTATGTTAAATACACTAAAATGAGATAATAATTGTTTAAAATAGATCCTAAATCTGTTTTTTATATACTTTTTATAAACTTTATTTTCCAAAAAATTGTGTTATTAAATTTTTAAGTATATCATTTTATACATACAGTAGTTTTTAACTGTGTAATATATAATATTATTTTGTAGATTAAATGCTAGATTTAAAATTATTATTTTAACTAACCTCAGTGAAACCAAATTTCATTGCAAAATACTGTACAGCCATTAACTCAAAAGCTCTGTAAGCAAGATTATTAAATATTACTTTGCTTAAGAATTTTAAAGCATTCAAAGTTTGCTTTTATTAAATATACTTTGCTTTTATAATCTTTGCTAAATTATTTATAAATGTTTTATTCTTAAGAGTTAAGTTGTTTACCAGGATTGTAAATATCATTTATGTCAAATTAATTATACAATAATACAGGTTTTAATTTTAATAATTGGTGATTAAATTTATTCCATATAAATATTAATTATATTAAAATAAGTATATACGATTGTATATTGTCAATATAGTATAAAATTGTTGAAATCAATTTATATTAATTGCCCATAAAATTAATCCGGAAATTACGCGGATTTTACGTGTTTAGGTATACTATAGTAAATCAAAATGCTAATGTTTTTTGCTGTATCACTGTATATACACTGTACACTTATATACAACCCATAACGCATATGATCCTTAATAGAGTAGATCATGTATTTATAATGAATATAATAATAGCACTTTCGTAAATACTGGAAGTAACTGGTAAGCACCGTGAATCTACGGTGAGCCCTCTGGTTGTACTGTATATTATGTAATATTGTAATAGTAATACCAAAACTCTGAATTGTCAAACTTATATATTATACAGTATGGACTATTTATTAAAACAATGATACTTTCACTTAGATGCCACTCGGGAGAGGTTGTACTGTATATTATGTAATATTGTAATAGTAATACCAAAACTCTGAATTGTCAAACTTATATATTATACAGTATGGACTATTTATTAAAACAATGATACTTAGTTTTTTGTTTATGACCAAAATATTCAAATAAAGAATATTAGTTTCATAGCTGACCATGGTTGACCATTCTTTTGTTGAATTCCATAATTGAATTTTATGTGCTTATATTAGATATAAATTTAATAATATATTATATATTAATTTAGTAGTAAACTATATCTTGATAATCACATAGTATGTGCACATAATTTATTGTATATTGATTTGTATTTTATATTACATTAGATACTTGCAGTGAACTTTATACTTTTAAAATATTTTAAATTTTAAACTAAAATTTGATCTTATATATTAATTTAATGTCTGAAAGATCAGCTTGATTTTGTATAATTTTATTGTAAATTGCACTTCTAATTTTTTGTGTAATTATGCAATTTTTACATAAAGGATANATTTTAAACTAAAATTTGATCTTATATATTAATTTAATGTCTGAAAGATCAGCTTGATTTTGTATAATTTTATTGTAAATTGCACTTCTAATTTTTTGTGTAATTATGCAATTTTTACATAAAGGATACTACTCGGTTATAATACTTATAATCAAGTACAGCGTTGTAGTATTTCTTTATGTAAGCGAGTATAATTGTATTTAATTATTGCAATAGTTTTCGAGTCATTCAAGATTGTGTGATTAATACAGACTGTATGACATGCAGACATGTGCGGGGTTTTACGGTTATTGATAAAAATGTGAAATAGTTTTGGTAAAACAGTATTTATTGATATCTCACATCATACAATTCATATCACGCGCACACATATTGTTTACAAATTAATTCATTCTTAAATTATGGGTCTATTGTTAAACTAAACGGTACTTCATTTCCAGTGAAGCAAATCCAATGTATTAGAGTTTCGGATCATTTACTTTTTGGGCAACATTTGCCCAGTTTTAGAATCATGCTCAAATACTTTGGATTTTAACTTTTAAACCTACAAATAATATCATTGTTTTTTGTAGTTTTCATAATTTAATTAAATATATGAATGAAAAATCATAATGAAAAATTGCTACATTATTTATTTGATATCATAATGTAATGTAAAATACTTTCAAAACTTTAGCCTTTAATTCACATCGAATCTACATTTGAGCCTTTCTTATCATCTTATCATTCAAGTGATGAACTCTAACCATAAGCTAATCATATTAAATGTTATAGAAATGCACAGCACTGTAGAGTCAGTACAACTTCTTTTCTTGAGATCACATTTTACTGGCATTAATTTTACAATTAATTACATATTAATCTATTAAACAATTTACAAATAGCTAGATTGGTTATTAAATTTTTTAAAATCTCTGTTTAAGCATGTTCAATTAACATTGTTAATATTACAATATTATATTTTCTCCAGCATCATATAAAATCATGATTATATAAATTTTATAAAATATATAAGGTTTTTGTTGCACATTGTGTATTTACAAGTTATAACAAAACACAATTGATTTAGCAAACTAATTAAAATTAATTAAAACAAGTGATTATAACTATGTGAAGGAACATGTTGAATTAGTGATGTTGATATATGAATTAACGATGGTTAGTTGTGGATTACTTTACAGAACTGGATGGTGGAGTGCCATTGGTATTATGCAATATGTTACGAAGGGATTGTAATCATCCACCATTTCTTGCTCTCTCACCTGCTTTTCGATCTGCCATTGATTTTCCTACCATTTCGACAACAGGTTCGGACATACATTCAAACCACAACAATAAGCGTACAATCAATTCATTCAATTTAAACACTTATCGCTCACTCTTTTATTCTAAACATTTTTAATCATTAACTAAAACTGCTATAGAAATTGCTTTCATATAATGCAATGAAAAATTGTCACTCAATTCACTATCACTATTACACGCTGTATTAAATTTACAATTAAAATAATATACAATATATGTATGTCTTTGTTTTTAAATATGATTAGTAACGTTATATATTGTTAATATATGAAGTACAAATTCATTTTTAAATTTTTATCATGAACTCATTATACAAATTAATCTCTAATCCTAATGAGTATATATTTTCTATTTATTAGGTAATATTTTTAGGAATTATTTTATAACTAGATGCGAGGTTTTTGAAGTTTGTATGTAAACTAATTACCAATTATAAAATTTAAAAAATAATTAGTCAACAACATATATTTTTTAATATTAAATAATATGAATTAATTAAATTTAGTTTATTAATAGATTTTTGGATTTATTATAGTAATTATTGAATTTATTTAAACAAAAGTTAATAAGAATATATGGTACGATAATTTGTTGATGAATGTCAAATGAGAAATAATGAGTTTGTGAAGTTAAATTTTATATACTGATAATTGACAGACAATATGCATGCATTGTATGTGAATTGTGTTACTCTAATGCGTTAAGTATCTGTTGTCCGCATGTTTTGCTTAATAAAATCTCTCTTGTCCCTAATACAAACACGGGGAGTTAGTGATACTTTACTTACCGTCTAGACTACAGGTAATTTTGTATCTCATGACATTCTCACACAACATTAACTTACACTATATGACATCCGAGGAGAGCCTCACGCCGGGGTAGTCTCGTATGTATGGCTTCATTCATACCTTTCATACAGTCTCTACAGTCGGGGCGCAAAGAAAGTCCTAACAGTTCTATTGGTAAGACTACTAACATTTTGCTTCAATTCTATACATAACACTTGTTTGGCTGTAAATATCAATCGCTATTTCAATCACTCATTCAATCTCTTGACTTCAATAATACAAAGAATTCTCATTTGAATATCGTTTTCGTATATAAAAATTTTGTTCATTCACTTTATTCACTGTTTTTCTCATTTTATTTTAATTTATACAGAATATATGGCCTAAGATTTTATTTAATAATATAAAAATACCAAATATTTTTCAATTTATTTTCTCTTTTATAAACATCCTATTGTTGTGGTTTGAATGTATGTCCGAACCTGTTGTCGAAATGGTAGGAAAATCAATGGCAGATCGAAAAGCAGGTGAGAGAGCAAGAAATGGT